TCTGCTTTGGGTTTCCAACCCCTGAGTTCTTCGCCTGTGGAAACTGAGGTCTCGGAACTGGGCGTGCTTTTGAATCAGGGGTGAAGGGGACCCACCGCTCCTCCTTGACTGGTGGACGTGGAGAAAATACAGGCGTTTGACCGGTGGACTTCCTCTGGGGAGAAGGATGGAGGCCGCGGAGGCTAGCAGTCTCTGCCTTGTGATGGGGAGCTACATCTCTGTAACCCAGAGCCTGCACAGGAGCCTGGATCTCCAGCTGAGCTTGGAAGACAGTCTCACAGCCTTCCAGTTCCCAGGCTGTGCTTTTCAATTTGCCCTTGACCCTTCCCCTCAACATATACAGTCACACACATACACGCTCACATACATATAGTTACATACATTCACACGCTTAACCGTGTGTATTCACACACTCACATGCATCTTCCTATATACTCACTGTACTCAATCCACACACACATGTTCCCATACTTTCTGATACACTCATGAGAACACACCCAGATATGCATTAGCATATAAAATTCACATACTTGTTTGCCCGATACACAATTAGCATACGTTCAAATGTACTCTTACATCTGCCCACATAGATAACCATTAACACACATTTTTCGCATACACCCAGGCTTATGTATTCGCATGCACTCACATATGCACACTAGCGTGCCCATGTTCACACACTCACCGCACACTTGTTCACACACGAGCATACCCTCCTCACGTTCCCTCCTCCCTGCTGAGCCTGTTTGCAGACCCAGCTCTAGGCTGACCTCAGGAAGTGAAAAGGCACCGCTGGTCAAGAGCCATCTGTTACTGTAATCCTTCATTAGACTGGAAGTTTGATTGGCCAATCGGCTTACATAAATATGCATCAGGGAGAGCTGTCCTGACAGAGAACATTGCAGGAGTGTGACACGTCACCCTGTCACTGGCATCGGGTCAAGGAGTTCCATGACTGACAGCTTTCTTCACTTTGAGGATGTAGGGCCTTGGGGATCCTGGCGCTGGGGGGGGAGGGGCTGCGGGGGCGGCTGGGGACTTTTGTGCTCTGTCTCAAAGTACAGAAATATTTAAGGAGACATGCGTGTCTTAGAAAGGCAGATTTCCAGGTGTTGCATGTGTCTCCACTGGCCGCATGCACCACCCTTCAGACCTGCCCCTTCCTCCTTCCAGCAGGACAGTCAGGGCAAGTCAGCAGGTTCCACGCAGCAGCAGCAGCAAGGACATGTTCAGCTTAGCTCAAAGGACAGAGAGGTTCACTCTGAAGGAGGATTATGGGCTGAGCCAGAGTAGAGAAGGCCAAAAAGGGAGTCTCCGGGATCAAACTGCACCCTCTCGAGGGGCAGGCACACAGTCACCTCATCCTCTGCCCTCTCCTGTGTCCATCCGCCCCATCTTCCTCTGTCCTCTCCTCCCTCACGTTTCCTTCCCCTTTCTCTTCTCTCCTCTTTCCTTCTCTGTTGTTCCCTCTCGTCACCTCTATTTCCTCACAATGAGGTCCCCAGGGGCTGGCACTTACGACTCACCCTGTTCTCCCCTTGGCTCTTCAAGTGACCTGTATGTTCGGCTCTCAATGCTGCTTGCACTGATTCTCCGTTTCCAGTGCACTTCAGAAGAAGCTGAAGGACCAAGCTGCTCTCCCAGTCACTGTCTGCCTCGCTGAGATCACAGGCCTTCCCCATCAGTTGCCTCATCTGGTTCAGTCAGTGCAGTGGTTTGAAGACAATGGTCCCCATACACTCATGTATTTGGATGCTTGGTCCTCACTTGGCGGAATTGTTTGGGAAGGATTAGGAGGTGTGGCCTTATTGGAGGAGGTGTGTCCCCAGGCTTTGAGGGTTCAAAAGCCCATGCTATCCCCTGTTGTCTCTTTCTGCCTCCTCCTTGGGGATAAGGATGTAAGCTCTCAGCTAATGCTCCAGCACCATGGCTGCTTGCCTGCTGCCAAGCTGCCCACCATGGTGGACATGAGCTCTAACCCTCGAGACTGTGAGCCCCAGTAAACTCTTTCTTCTATGAGTTGTATAGATCATGGTTTCTCCTTACAGCTACAGAAAAAATAGCTAAGTAACTGAGTCAGCTTTGACCCAAGGAAAGAACACTTTGCACAGAGCTGGTGGACTGTGGTAGTTCTCCTAAGGTGGAGCTATGGCGGGTGGGGTAGGGAGTCAACATTGCTGGAGGACAGTTTGAAACTCAGTTCTGTCCCTGAGTACCGATCTTTTCAGTGGCTGACCAGTCAGGTGAACTTCTTTAAAAAGGGGTCTTTGGTAACCTTTTACTGGGAACAAAGATCATTATTTAACCATACTTACTTGGAATTTTTGGTTGATGTTTCCTAGTCCAGCAAAGACCGCGGCTAGAAAACAGTGCCTATTTTATTGAAATAAATGGCCTGTGAGGGGGTATTCGAAACAAAGCCTGACAAGCCATTTTCAGCTCCCCTCCAGCACTTTAGAGACGCTCACTTATATGTCAGCAATCAATATGCTAATTACAAATAAGCCCTATCTATTAAGCACTTAACCGACTCCAAGTACCTGTTAACTAAGCAACATTGAGCTAACCTTAGCTTGCCTCATCCTGAGATCAATAGGACTTCATTTCTCTTAAAGTACTCCATAATTTTTTTTCTCACATGATACCATACCACCATTTTCTAGGAGTCCAAATTAGTGAGAAATGTGTGTGTGTGCATGTGTGTGTGTGCACGTGCGCACTCCAAGCCTACAAAAACTCATAAACCTGTGGGAAACTAATGTATACACCAAACATTCAAAATGTGAGAACAAAAGAAAGCTAAACTAACACCCCGTGACAAGAGGAAAGCATGGGCCTGCCCGTGTCTAAGGGAGTACTTCCAGGTCTGACAGCCTGAGTTCAATCCCTGAGGCCTACATGGTAGAAAACCAATTCTTACAAGTTGTACAACACACACACACACACACACACACACACACACACACACACACACACACACAATTAAAAAACTTCCGAGAGAGGGGACTGGGTATCTTTTATTTACATGGTAACTTTCACACATAAATGCAGACAAAGATGAGCAACAAACCCACTATTTAAAATAGTGTGCAAATCAGGGCATTCTCTCTGATGGTCTCACCCTCCAGAAGGCTATTCCAGCAACAGGCATGCTGGGAGAGACCGTGGGAGCATGGCCACGCGCTTGAACACTGTGAGAGATAGGCTGAAGGTGGCGTCTCTTCCTTTGAGAAGGAGCTGTGTTTCATTGACTCAGTGAGTGTCCAGGAACCTGGATGGTAGAAAACTGATAGAGGAGACTTGGGGACATGTTCTATGTTGACGCCTAAAATACCAAGTAGTTTATTTAGAAGAAAGGACACGAAGACACTGATAGGTGCTTGCCGTTTTCGGCCGTACACGCCGAGAAGAAAAGAGATGGAAGGGGATGGTGACTCAGGCGACCCCATCTCTCAGCCAGTGAGTGCTTAGAAGAGACACCTAAGGGAGCAGGGGATGGGCGCCAAAAAGAAAGGACCCCCACTGCACAGCGGCAAAGACTCCACGTGACACCTGGGACTCCAGCTTGGTTTAAGGCTCCTCTGTCACCATTAAGATTCTTAATTGTGTCCTGTTGACCCTGGAGAGTCTTCGTAAGAATTGAAGACACAGCTCTAGGACCTCGTTCACCCCAGGAGAGAGGAGAACATGGAGCCCACCTCCTCGTGCTCCTCCAGATTTTCTGCCTCGTGTGTGTGTGTGTGTGTGTGTGTGTGTGTGTGTGTGTGTGTGTGTGGAACCGAACACGACCCTGTAGATGTTTTACCACTCACAATTCGCTCTCCCTACTGGTTCACCCAGAAAGTAATAGAGCCTTCAGTTTCCTAAACAGAAACAAAGAAAATGACCGAGGGTTCCACTGAGAACACGGTAGTCTAAAAACTCAGCACACTAAAATGTAATTCATGGACACAGATGGACTGTCACATCGCTCCCCGCTCACACGTAAGAGAGAGAATCCGTGGGGAAAGTGCTTGACGCACAGGGATGAAGACCTAAGTTTGGATCTCTTAGAATCTACACAGCCAGGCTAGGAGGTACATGTCTGTAGTCCCAGCACTGTGAAGGTACGGGCAGGAGGGTCCCCGGGGCTGGCAGTCACGAGTTCTAGAGTCAGGGAGGAACTCTGTGGTAGGATTGTAAGTGGATCAGTGCATAGAGGTGCAGGCCTGGTGACCTGAGTTCAAACCCCCAGGTCCTACATACAGAAGGAAGAAGAGAACCTAGTCTACAGGTGTCCACTGAATTCCACATGTGCAGCATGGCACACACGTGTACACACACACACACACACACACACACACACACACACACACACACACCACCTCCACACAGTCATAATGGAGATAGAGAAGTGATTGAGGAAGGTATCCAGGTTGACCTCCACATGGATGTGCACCCACGTACATATGTACCCCACAGACCTGCGCACGCACACATGCACACACACACACACACCACAAAGAAAAACTTATGAAGAAAGAGAGACTAGCCAGGAGGTGATGTACATCCTGGCACTCAGGAGGCAGAGGCAGGTGAATCTCGGAGTTTAAGGCCAGTCTGGTCTATACAGCAAGTTCCAAAACAGTTAAGGCTACCCAGAGAAAACTTGTGTCAAAAAAAGAGAGGGGGGAGGGAGGGAGGGAGGGAGGGAGAGAGAGAGAGAAAGAGACAGACAGACAGACAGACAGACACTGAAAGCACAGAGACAGGACCAGTGGCCACCAGGGGGACGGGATGAGCATCTTCACAGGGGTGGGGACAGTGAAGATGTGTCTTCAATTCCGCCATTGGTGGCTTCGTTCCTGACTGTCCCATTACCGTGCTTCAGTATTTGAGGTTACCCTCTGTCCTGCTGACCCTGCTTCCCTAACTTTCAAGGGTTCTTCCTAATAGGGCAACTTCCTAAGTGGGGAGCTCCTTCCTGGGGAAATGGCTGTTGAACAGAGGGTAGTATTTACCAGCCTCATCATGTCTTGGTACCAGTGAGATGGCGGCAGCCTTCCTCAGGATTTCTGTGAGTTCACCATAGAAGTTCATCTCCTCAAACTGCCTGGAGATGATTCTGACAGTGAACAGCTCCTGTGATCCCAAAGATTTTCTTTTGGTGGATTGAAACCTCCATTGTGACCCTTTTGACTCCCCTGCAAGAAAAAAAAAAAAAAAAGAGCATCCAGCCTCCATCTTCCACGTGGTACTTTCATATCCTGAAAGGCATAATTCAATTACATTTCATTTTCTTTGCTGACTATTGCAATGATCTGATTTTGCTGGAAATAACGTCTGTTGTAGGGACCATTTCAGCAGCTTCATTCAGAGCGAGCCTTGGGGTGGCAAGGGACACTGTCTGAAATAAGGCTTGAAGTTCGCTCCCCTGTATGAAGGATAGCGAGGGGGTCTGTGGATCCAGCCTGTGCCTGCCTGGGTTCCCTGACTCGGCAAAGCTGTCCATCCATGCTGGATTTCCCAACAGCCCGAGTCCATGTCTCCAAAGCTATCCATCCTAATATAGAGAAAATGACCTCTTCTTTGCCCACACATCTGCCTTTCGTATTGCCTGCCAGCGTGGCAGAGTGCAAAGAAAACAAAGAGCCCTTTGCTCTTTGTGTGTGTGGAGGGGGATCTCACGCATCCCAGGCTGGTCTCAAACTCACCGTGTAGTGGAGGATGATCTCACTCCAGATCCTTCTGTCTCCGCCTCCTGAGTACTTGGACTACGGTGTGCCCCAGCGTGCTCAGTTTAGGCAGTGCTGGGGATTGAACCCAGGTCTTGGTGCATGCTAGACAAGCACTCTACCACCGGAGGTGTGTCCCAGCCCACGTTTTGCTTTTATGCCCAATAAGAACATCCCAAACACAGCCTGTGTGTGACATGCATAGCAGTCAACTCTTGGTTGCCTCTTGAAGATGGATGTTCTCCGAGCAGCCTAGCCATTGCCTATAAATGAAGCCCTGAGTACTGCGTTGTAGGGACACTGAGTATGTTTGAGTTTAAGCTGTTCCGAGATAAGCAATGGCATCTGCATTAATAAAGATGCTGCAGTGACTTGGTGCTGACCTCGATGTTCTAAAACTCTGTTGGCTCAGGCGTTGTGCGTGTTTTAATAACTGTTGACTGATCGTGGATAAAATGTGGACGATTATTAGTTTAGACAGTGCTATCTATCAAATGTCCAAGAAGAGACCACTATGAGGTAACCGTCAGTAGTGGTGGCTGATCACCACCACGGGTACGTTACATTTTATAACCATCTACAAATGTCTGCTTTTTAGTATTTTTCTCCCCTACTGGAAATGTAGTATTGCTGTGTGAGTGTGGTGGCACACACCTATAATCTTAGCATTAAGAGACTGAGGCAGGAACACAGTGACTCTGAGGCTAGCGTGGCATTTATAGAAGACTCTGTCTCAAAGTCCAAGGCCTGGAGATGCAGCTTTATCATCCTTGTTTATATAAGACCCTGGGTTCGATCCCAGCACCACTTTCCATACCAAAAGAAACAATGGCAGCATTGAGTTGTAAACCCTAAGAGCAAATAAATACTCAAGTGTCCATACTGATATCAATAATTTTACAAAGGAGGAAGAAACAACTCTTTCTCAAGAGAACTGCAAGTAATAACTGTGGAAGCAACATGAGAAACAGGTTCTCCGTGAGGCACGCAACACTGGAAGAAACAAGATCCCCAAGCAGAGGCTCACACAAGTGGACAGCAGTATGGGAGAAATGGGGTACAAACACTCTCAGCACGTCTCCCCAAGACATGATTGGCTATAAAGGAGAGGGCGCCGACTTCAGAGCGAGGTCACCAGCACACAGCCACTTAACTCAGGGCTTGCGGGAAGCATCACAGCCAAGGCGCATTGACATCCGGCATCCTTTGATGTGGTGCACCAAGAGGACATGACGTCACTTGGCAGTGGCCTTTCTAAGAGTACAAAGCCTCACGTGAGACAAATACCACACAGGCCCACTGAGATGAGGAGTTTCTGCAGACAGGAAGAGACTGGGAAGAATAAAACCACCAAAGGCACTGTGGGAGAATCCTGAGTAGGGTCCCGAGACAGAAAATGATGGAGAACAGAGTAGAATTCTATTAAGGTCTATAGATTAATTAATAATATGTGTGAAAGTTAATCTCCTGTTCCTGAAAATTGGATCGTGGTTACGTAAGATGGCGTTAGAGAAACTTGCTTAAAGGACGAAAAGAGCCCTTGAGCTGTATGCACATTTTTTGTAAGTTAAAAAAAAAAAAGTGCAATATTTACAAAATTGTTTTGAAAAGGAGCTATGGGTAATTAGTAGTGTATTTCTTTAACCAAAGAAGACCCAGACTACCTTGTAAGAAAGCCAAGCACTCACATTTTGTCTTTATCCTTTTTACTTGGTGTTCTTTCTTGTGTTTTCCATCCTGCATTTCCGCTTGCTTCAAGACGCGGAGCTGAGACCCTGTGACAGAAGTCCTTTCAGTGGGGTGGATAAAAACACATGCCTCACATTGCCCGTGGCCGCTTGGTTTTTCTAGTGGAATTGGCTCTGCTGGTCCTCTCCTGAGATCAGGACGTAACCAACTGAGTGTTGTCCAGCAGAGTTATATATTAGTTATTTTTCTAATTGCCATCACAAAATACCTGACAAAGGCAACTTTAAAAGGAACAGTTGATTTGGAGCTCACAGCCTGAAGGTACAGCCCATCATAACAGAGAAGACACATCTGGTCACATTGCAGCCACAGTTAGGAGGAGAGAGAGATGGATGCTAATGATCCCCATACTTTATCCTTTTTTATTTAGTCTAGGATCCCAGGCCATGAGATGGTGGACCCCAGACCATGAGATGGTGGACCCTCAGACCATGAGATGGTGGACCCCAGACCATGAGGTGGTGGACCCCAGACCATGAGATGGTGGGACCCAGATCATGAGATGGTGGGACCCAGACCATGAGATGGTACCACTCACATTTAGGGTGGGTATCCCAGACCACCCTCCTAGACACACCAAAAGACATACTTCCCTCACAATTCGAAATCCCATCAAGTTGGCAATGAAGATTAACCCTCACAAGTACCAATTCACAATTGAAAATGACACATTTCAAAGAATGCACAGTGGGAAACCTCATTGTGAACCGGACATGGCGGTACACATGTGTCATCCCAGCATTTGGAAAGCAGAGACGGGAGGAACTTGAGGTTGAGGCTGGCTTGAGATACACAGCAAGATTAGGCTTCATAGAGAGAGTCCATGTCTCAAAAAAATAAATAACATGTGACAAGTGAGAAAAACGGAAGAAGGCTTTATGTAAAGGAAAGGTAACGATCTAAGGATTCTAGAGATGATTCTGTATATTTTAAAGTAGTCCTTTATTCACATACAAAATTCAGCCTCAAAGGAGCTTACCATGTGTCTGTCTGTGACTGCCTCTGCTTTAACATCTCAGAATCATCCTCTCTTTTGCATTTATTTATTTATTTATTTAGAGACAGATTCATACTAGATAGCCTCATCCTCCTGTCTCAGCCTTCCAGGCTGCTAGGATTTGCACACCCCACCACCGGGTCCCAAACAGTCCCTTTTACCACACTACTCTAGCTGCAGAGCAGATTTCCTCCTGTGATTTATTACGGTTCACCTGCTGTCTCGAGAGTAGGGTGATAGTCTAGGAGCAGAGGTGTTCTGAGTTCCTACCTCTGATGAGAACAAGGAAAAGAGTTTAAGGAAGCTTGGAGTCTGAGATATATATATATATATATATATATATATATATATATATATATATATATATATGGCAGTACATCAGACACTAAGAAGAAAGAAATGAGAGCACGCTGATTCTGCAGAGTGGAGGTGGGAGCCTTCACACATTGTTGAGGACCAGTTCTGGCATCACTCCTGACTCCAGATCCTAGAAACACAGCCAGGTATCACCCCAGAACTGGGTCAAGAGTGAGGCTCCCGAATACATTGTTCCGTCATCTTTTGCAAAGTTCTCTTCTTAAGAAATGTAGCTAGAGAAACCTAGTGCCATGGACACTCTCAGGAATCTACGAGGGTGACCCCTGCTAAGACTCCAAGCAGTGGGGGATACGGAGCCTGACCCGGCCATCTCCTGTAACCAAGCAAACTTCCGGTGGAGGAATTGGGACACCAACCCACCACAAAACCTCTGACCTATAATTCGTCCGGTCTACAAGATATGCTGCGGTAAAGGAGGCACAGAGATTGTGGGAGTGGCCAGCCAGTGACTGGTCCAGCCTGAGACCCATGCCACGGAGAGGGAGTCCACCGCTGACACTGCCTGGAGGGCCAGGACCCAGAGGCTGGGTATCCCAGGGACCTAGGATAGAACCAAAGATGACTGGCAAAAAAAAAGTCAATGTACTGATCCTAATGATAGTCTGCTAAACTCCTAGATTGGTGCCTAGCTCAGTGGTCATCAGAGAGGCTCGACCCAGCAACTGATGGGAGGAAATGCAGAGTCAAACGTGAGATGGAGCTCAGGGAATCCTGCAGAAGGGAGTGGGAAAGATTGTAGGAACCAGAGGGGCCAAGGACGCCACAAGAAAATCCACAGAATCAACTAACCTAGGATCCTAGGAACTCACAGAGACTGAACTGACAATCAGGGAGCTTGCATGGGACTGGCCTCGGCCCTCTGCATGTGTGTCGTGTAGCTGGGTCTTCTTGAGCGACTGCTAACAGTGGGGGCAGGGGCTGTCTCTGACTCTGCTGCCTGCTTTGGGGACCCTTTCCTCCTACCGGGCTGCCCCATTCAGTCTTAATAAAAGAGGCAGGCGGTTTCCCAGTCTCACTACAACTTGATAAACCGTGGCTGGCTGGTGTCCATGGGAGGCCTGTCCTTTTCTGAAGAGAAACAGAGGGGGAGGAGAGAAGGGGAGAGCGGAACTGTGATTGGGATGCAAAAATAATAAAAAATACATACATACATACATACATACATACAAGCAGACAAAAAAGGAAAGGTAGCTGGTCATCAAATAAGTAGCCTTTCCCCACCCCTTAGACAAAGAAAGAGCAGGCGTAACACCAATAACAAGGCCAGGAACTTATGACCCATAAGTTATGAGAAAGTTAATTATCTACCTGCAGAGAGACCAAGGAAGTAATACAATGTGTGCAGCAAGGCCTTGTCACAGAGGCTTAGAAGCCTTTAAGATTTAGTTTGGGCAATTTATTAAAGAGAGAAGTTTCAGTGTGTGTGTGTGTGTGTGTGTGTGTGTGTGTGTGTGTG